ATATGTTATGGAGAAAAATAAACTAAACAACATTTGCCTGGGCAGTACATCCAAATTCTTTACCAAATTTGAATTAAAAATCAAATACAGAAAATAAACACTATGATAAAAATAAAAAAAAATAAAAAAAGAATTAAGATGAGTGAGTGTGTCAGCACCTTTTCGACACCGCCATCTTTGCCGATTTTTAATTATTTTTTGGCATTGAAAAATACTTTGAAAATTTACAGATATGTAGTTTACATAATCAATAAATCATTACAAAATTTTCAAAAAATAATAATTTTGTTTAGGCCCCGAAATAAAGTGAAAGCAGAAAGTTAAAAGTGAAAAAAAACAAAATAGCGACTGGGCGAGCACGTTTTGACACCCCCATCTTTGACGATTTGTAATGATTTTGTGGCTTAGCAGAATGGATTCAAAATTTATAAGCGTGTAGGTTACATCATTGAGAACTCACAAAAAAACATGCAGAAAAAAAAACTTATTTTTAGGCCCCGAAACATTTTTTGGTGGGGGCCAAACCTAGAGGTGTTCGGCCCCCGAACGGGATCCCGAACGGCCGAATGTTCGAGGGCCAGCCCGGGGGCCCGCGAACGTTCGGTCAGGTAACCGTGTATATATATATATAAATATATATATATATATATATATATATACAGGGTTACCTGACCGAACGTTCGGGGGGCCTCGGGCTGGCCCCCGAATGTTCGGGCGTTCGGGTCCCGTTCGGGGGCCGAACACCTCCAGGTTCGGCCCCCGCCAAAAAACGTTTCGGGACCTAAAAATAAGTTTGTTTTTCTGAATTTTTTTTTGTGAATTCTTTATGATGTAGCCTACTCGCCAATCAGTTTTGAAGCCATTTTGCTAAGCCCAAAAAACATTAAAAATTGTCAACGATGGGGGTGTCAAAACGTGCTTGCCCACTCACTATTTTTTTTTTTTTTCACTTTTAACTTTTTGTTTTCACTTTATTTCGAGGCCTAAAAAATTTTATTATTTTTTGAAAACTTTTTAATGAGTTATTGATTATGTAAGCTACATATCTGTAACTTTTCAGGGCATTTGTCAATGCCAAAAAATAATTAAAAATCGGCAAAGATGGTGGTGTCGAAAAGGTGCTAGCACAGTCACTCATTTAAATTCTCTTTTTATTTTTTCTTATTTTTATCAAAGTGCTTATTTTCCGTATTTGATTTTTAATTCAAATTTGGTAAAGTATTTGGATGTAGTGGCCATGCAAATGTTGTTTAGTTAATTTTTCTCCATAACATATGTTTTTTTAGGAATTGTTTTAAAAAAAAAATGTTTTTTTTTTTTTTTTTTTTTTTCCACGTTCGGCCCGAACGGCCGAACGCCTTCCGAAGGGGTTCCGTACGTTCGGGCGTTCAGGTTCGGGCGTTCGGCCCGTCCCGAACGTCGGCAACCCTATATATATTATTTCTTTTTTTGACAGAAATTTAATATGTGTGTGTGTGTGTGTGTGTGTCCCTCCTCGTTCCCTCGTAATGGAGGTACGGGTGGGGTAGGTCACTTTATTTTGAAACTGGGATTCGGGGTAGGTCCTCCATCCAAACCAAGCTAGAAGTTTCTTTGGCTTACACAAACGTGTATATATTCATTGTACATCTGGGTGCCAACTTACTTATCATTAGTTGTGGCTGTGTTGAAGCCACCGCAGTACAATATGAGGGCAGCACCGGAAAGGTTGATAATTTTTAGGGTATTGGAGGATCTTTTTGGTAAGTCCTAACAGTCTGTGTTTTGAGAAGCCGTTATGCACAAAGTTATTGATGGTTTGTTCTATTTCGACTGCTGCATGTTGGGGTTCAGATTCGACTATCATGATAGTGATGATTTGGGGTATTACCAGGTTAAGAGATTGCTTGGATGAATCTTGTGATGGGGAAGTTTAATTCTTTTCTTTTGTCATATTTCAATGATATTTGTATGTTTTGTAGTGACCGGTAAGAGTGCTAGTGATTTCGATGGTTGTGTTGAGAAAGTTTGTTTTGGTCCCGATGATATTGTAAGTGATTTCTGTTTTCTCAAAAGTTTGCTCATTCAGGGTGATTAGGTGTAGAGGGTATAGGAAGTATTTACTCCTTGTACTAGTTGTTTAAGGGTTAAGGAATTAATGTATTCTTGGGTTATTAAGGATATGAAAGTTATTAAAATATTGAAAAACATGTTGAAATAAGTGTAGGAGGTGTCTGTTAGTTTTGTGGGTGATTTTTCTCATGAACTTGTATTTATATTTGAAGAAGTAAATGTTACACCATACTGATGAACAGCTGATAGGGATGCCCAGGATCTGTTTCCAGATGTTGTTGCCCATGAACATCGCCCATAGGGATGCCCAGGATTTATTTCCAGATGTTGTTGCCAAAAGAGGTATAGGCATTGGTAATAAGTCATTTATTGATGGGGTTAACCATCTTATTACTAAGGGAGAAATATCCATTGGAGGGGTTGTTATACCAGCCACATGTGGAGGTTAGTTGGTCTCCTTTATAGTAGAATTTAAAGGCAAGTTGTACATCTGTTCCAAATATTTTCTTTGCTTGTTGAAAGGCTAATTTTGTGAAGAACTTAATTGCATTAGGTAGCCCATCCGAGTTGTCATAAGTGGGTATGGTTTCGTAGCATCTTGTTATATCTACGGAGAAGACGGTTGTTGTTTGGGGGGGTATGTTGTAGACATAGTCTGCTGTCGAGTTTATGGGCCACCAGTAGGGTACTTTGATGTCAGTTTCGATGAAAGTTTGTTATGTGAGGTATCCACAGTGAGTTTTCACAACCTTGATTAGCGCTTTAAGGATGGCAACAACAAGGTCAGCAAGAGGAGAAGAAATAATGTCAGAAGCATTGGTGAGCCAACGAAAGGAGTTTTTGTGCTTCTTATATGTGGCGAAGAGATATGGTAGTGACTTTTTTCCAATTGGGATATCAAGAAAGATTTTGATGAGTTTCTCTTTCAGGTGGGTGAGTAGTTCATTAGCAGAGATTGGCCATGGTTCAAAGTCGGGACTAGAGAGTCTCTACAGGGCAAGGTATAATATAAGATTAATACATATGATCACCGGTGTATTCGGGGCTTTGTCGGCTCCGGAAATGTAGAAATGTGAGGTGAGGAATTTGATTTTGTGTCTGATTGCATGGTTGCGCATGTTGGTTTACCTGTGTGGTTGACAATTCACAGTAGCTCGTAATATGCTATCGGTAAATTCTTGGTTTACCTCTTGTATGTGTTTATCCAAGAGGGGTAATCCATTTTTTTCAAGAATATTCATGAGTTTTTTCCAAACTAGGCTTGTTGCTGCTATGTTTCCAAACTAGTGGCAGGGTATTATGATTTTATCATTTTGTCTATTGCCTTTTCATCCAAGCCTTCCATCTTTCATGGTCTATAACCGCAACCCCTGCACAAAGTAAGGACAAACATTTAGCAGTTATATAATCGTAAGTATGGGTATGCTGACAGATAGCTTGAGTGTGGGTTCATATGGTGGCGGGAGTGGGGGTATGGATTGGCTTTATTGGTGCGGAGCGGGACAAGATTTGGAGGTGGTGGGTAGGTCAGAGATCATGCAGTCTGGGTATATACAGGTGCGACTGATGGGATTGGGTAAGGTTGGGGCAGTTGGGGTTATGTAGGCAAGGTGCAACTTTTAAGTGGTGCGGGACCTGCATGGGTAGAGTCAGTCATCGCATTCTGAAGCAAGTTTTAAACAAAAAAACAGTTTTCCAGAAAGCAGGCAAATTAGGGCTG